CACTTACGCATACGTTACTGTTGTAAACAAAGAATAATTGTAGAATCAAAAACAAAGAAAGTGAAAGAATGAAATATGTCACTAGACGGAGGTATCGTTAGGCAGGGGGAAGATCACTACATTGTGAGGTACGGATACTTCAATATATTCAGATGTACATATAGAGATTGATTTCACTGGAGCGAAATAACCCACATAATTTAAACTAACACCGTTGAAGCATATATGCAACGTCATTTTTTAATCACTGGCTGGCACAGAATTGTGGAACTAAATTATTAAAGACTGAAACTAGTTTTTCATCACTATCAAACCTAAGGCAAATTATTTACAAATTGTCATTATGTGAGTGCGCCCTCAGAACGAACTTTCAGTCACGGATCAAAACAACGACACAGAGGGCGTATGCACTTCTGAAGCTGCCTACTGAAGTGAAGGCACGTGTTTAGAGAATAATTAAAGTGATTTAATGTTGTTTAGCGCAGCTTTAAGAAATACGTGTCTTTGGACTAGGGTTAATGTACCGTCACGTGTATATACTCGTATACTAAACATTAAGCAAATTCAATTTTGTAATGAAATATATATATGAATGTAATACAACGCGAATTAACTTACTTAACTCATTACGATATATATATTTTATGGTGTGTTTGGCGTCAATTTCGGAACATATAATTTTAAACGAGACATACACAGAACATGTATCTTTTAAACTAACGTCGAAGTTAAACTAACGGCATTCTATATTTTAATATTCAAGATTGTATACGACAGAAAAATTCAGTACTTAGCGCATTTTGATTGCCAATTGTTTACAATTTCGTGGAAAAGACGGAGTAGAGTCATCACTCTTCAGCCTAGTGTGATTTGCATAGTGAAATATGATCACCAGTATCCCGTTATAGCCTAACGTGTTATAGTGGTTTAATGGAATGGTCGAATTAAAAAAGCTAAAATAATTTGTGGGGGCGGGGGAAGTAAAAAAAAAACCCGGATATTGCAAATAAAGTAAGTGCCATTGACGGGCACACCCACTGCTGATATCTCGTACATCCACATACCCCGTAATTGTGTCGATCTGCAAATATTTCTTCAATATATAGCTATAGCGGGTGGACAGAGATGGCATATATAACGCCTTTCATGTTTTATATCGTCCTATATAAATGTGTAAGAACAATTGTTTAACTTACACTAGTTCAAAACACCAAGCGATTCATTTACAGATCTCGTGGCACCTGTCAATTATGATATTACTATTACACAATCAAAATTTCCGACGTTTCATTGAGATTTACGGCACATTCAACGAATAAAAAACATTAGAATTTCTTTTCCGAATTTTGATTAGGACCATACCATTTATAGCTACAGGGTGTCAAAAATAACGACCCCCCAAAAAAAACAATCAACACATCTTCCACCCACCAGAAAAATGTTATCCATAATTGACCAACCAAGAAAGCCAGAAATATCAGGCTGCACCCTGAAGACAACGAAACAACATCTTACAAACAGGCATTCCAAACATGCACAACAAACTTAGCCAATAGCTGCACGCGACTCATCAAACTTTTAACCAACAACTCATTCTATTGTCGAGCGAGGGCGCGATTTACTATAGGTAGCGAAAACGATTTTTCGAGAAAATTAAGCAGATCCAATACCGCAAGCAGTGAACACCAAGTGATACCTTAGAATAATCGAAAATTATAATTGACATACCTAGAAGATTTTCGAACATTCCGCCAACTGCAGCTACAGCAGACTTTTTCATATCAGAAAGGAATATTTTTTATTTGTCTATGTTTAGTGATCATTGTTGTCGTTTAAGTTTAACAATATCATTTTATAATTTCCTTTGGAGACCAGCATTTTAGATTTGATGAGTAACATGTTGGTATGTTTAGCGCAGCATTACCAAATTTGTTCATTTCGTGTAAGAAACCTTAGTTTAAAATAAATCGTATTAACCTGCTAGGACCTGTTCTGATCATGTATGTCCCACTTTCATTTTAAAAAGCGGCAATTTGGCGGGAAATTTTATTTTCGAAGAAGAAGCATTTAAATTTTAGCACTGCCACATGTGATGATCTGATTTATAAATAAAATGAATGAAATATTTTCAAAATAATATGCAGTTTGCCACAGTTGAAACAATAATTGGAATTATTCTTGATCAAATATGTGATCAGCTCTTTCTGCGTAGAAGAGTATGGAGTCCGCATGCGCATTCTAGAGACAATGTTACCTTGACCTTGGGATCACATTAAACGTCAACGATGGCACTATACTGACCGCATTATCCGTTATTCTTATTTATTTACACTTACTTAAAAGAATAAAATGCAAATATGATATATCATAATGTGAGTATGAAATTAGAATTAAAAATCACCAATTGGCTATGCATTTCATTAGCCATTTATTTGATATCATGCAAAATATAACTGATGATGGTGAAGTAAAGACTGGATGTATACTGAATAATGTGATATATGACTGAAGACCTTGACCCGAGCGACCCGAATACAATCGTCAAATCTAACCCATACATAATGTCAGGCAGGTTCAGTACTATAACCCTGCGTGTAACGATGTCCGGGTTAAACCACTATAATATAATTACCGAACTTTTGCACTGATGTGAAGTGTATTACACCATAGAGGTAAAAGAGATCTTTTCTACCTCCATTATTACACAGACGCAATAAAACCAAACATTGGGCAGACGTTTCTGCCAAATCCTTCATTTGACCCCCTAGCTTAGTAGTCATTTGCAAGTGTCTTGCATCGGCATACAACTGTACATCAGGTAATGTCAGGTTTCTTTCTTATTAGTACGTAAGTATTGAATATTTTCCCATAATTCATTTTGTTTTGATTGCAATATTCCATGCAAACAGTACTAGTATTTCGGCTTTTGTTTTTAAATACTGAGATTGTCAAAAACACCAGGGTGCGTTATGTTGAATCATGGTCGAATGTACGATGAGATACATACGCAAGTTAGTAGACGTTTCCATGCATCGGAAAGTCTTCAACCCCGTGATATCGCGCCGTTTTACTGGGGGTCTTGGCATTTTGACTAAAATTTCCAAAATCGCTCTCAAATTCCACGCAATGTCATGGGAATTTTCGTTTAATGACCTCTAACTACTTGACTAAAACATGCGACCTTGTAAATGCTTCCATTATGCCATACGCCATATTGACAATGGTGCCTTGTTTGTAAACCAGTGCAGATCTAAATACAAATAGACTGTAATCTATCGAATACACAATGATAGACGACTTACGTTTTTATGCGCTGTAAGGGCTTCACGAGGTCCACCGTTCGATTTAATCTTGCTTGTATATTTAATTAGACTTAATTTAGTTTAATTAATTAAAAAAATAGTTCTGTTATCACTTTTCTTATAAAACATTTCAAACACATCCGTGTATACCCTTTTCTGGGATGATTCGGCAATGAAACGACGCTAAGTCGGACAAATAACGTGATAAGGCTTTTCAATTCCAAACTGATGTGGGGAAATGCTACTTATGTGCACACTCAACATTCAAATTTACTGAAGGTTAGTGCTTTAACCCGGCATGTAATAATGCCTGAGGCTGGTCTAGATAATTACCGTAATTCACAGTGTATAACGCACACAATGGAATAGAAATGGACAGAACTTTCTGCCAAACCCTTCATTTGACCACCTTAGTATATGTCCATGAATGTTTTGCTGAACACACACACTTCATATTTGGGTGCAATTGACCTAGCATACATCGGCTGTACACTGATCTCATCAGTAACTAATTATTGACTATTTTCTTACCATTTATTTTGTTTTGAATGCAATATTCAATGCAAACAGTACTACTGTTTTCAGCCCTTGCTTTAGACTGTCGAAAGTCATCGGGCCTAATGTAATTGTGAATCCTAGATATTCGACTGTTGAATTCTGAGATTGTCAACAACACCAGCATGTACGATGATATACATATTCAAGTTAGTAGACGTTTGCACACATTGCAAAGTCTTCAACCCCGTGATATGGCGCCGTTTTACTGGTGGTCTTCGCATTTTGACTCAAATCATTCTTAAAGCCCACGCTATGTCGTGGGAATTGTCGTATAATGACCTCTAATTACTCGACTAAAACCTTTCGACCACAGTCCGTCTATAGTGGGACTGTGGTGTGACCTTGTAAGGGGTGATTGATGCGATAAGCTATATTGACAATAATGCTGTATTTGTAAACCAGTGCAGATCTAAATACAAATAGACTGTAATCTATCGAATACACAATGAGAGTTGGTTGATGTTTTTATGCGTTGAAAGGAATACAGCGTTCCATGTCTACACTCTAATGGGATTAAACTCCTGAATGTTCTTGTTATGGGCACAACATATTTAGCAAGATTTAACACTTTCAGATTCAAATTTACTTTGAAATAAATCAGAAAATACTTTACATTCGCTGGTTTTAGATATATTTTGAGTCAATAATTTGACACAGGAAATCGAATTCAAATCCAATACAAGTCTCTTGTAAATCGCGCCCTCTAGATACTGGGGGCGCCCATTACGTAAATGGCGAAACTTTATAGACATACAAAACGTTAATATTGTTATGATTTGTAGTCATCTAACAATGAATATTATTGACTGATTTTACTATTTTCTAGATGACGAACAATCACACCACTAAACACAGTTGTTGCTTCACCATATACGTCACTTTGACGTCACATAATTGCTTCTCCGCTAGAGAGCGCGATTTACAAAAATTGGTGTATATTCTCAAATACTGATACACAAACTTTTCTCCGGGAATCTTGCAGGTGAAAATGCGGGAGGAAATCAAATCACTTATTCATTATCCTATTCATTACCACGTCACTTATGATGTAGTTAAAAAGAACGGATTCAACGTGGACGGTGAACGATGGGCCAACGACGCTAAGAAGACGTTTGCTAGACTGGAATTAGATCCATCAGAGGAACTGAATGCGATCACAATTGGATGCGGAAATGGTGAGTATGACGTCACGCTTACATCTTTGGGGTTAATCAAGATGGGTTTCTCCGAGTTACATTCATGTATACTTATGCAATGAACAATCATTTTGTCAGTTGCACACTGCTATTACATGTTTCAAAAACAGCACATTAAAAGTGTAGATTAGGGCGGTGGACTACAATCTTTCATTTTAATTCGACGTTAATTAATTTGATATTTCCTATACTTCACTAGATGGCAGGAAACGCCATATTTATGAAAACAAACTCACTGCCTGAATCATCGAAAACTCGTGGAAATACTGGACTTGATATTTTTCAACGAGTGGGAATGCTAGTTCTAATAATTATTTTTGAATCCGAATTATGTTTAATGAAAACACTTAAAAGGTGGTTTAAAAATAACCGCCATTCATCTTCATTCAGATTTTCATTAGTACGCATTGTGAATGTTATTACCATAAAAATGGTGATATGATTAATATTATTCTATTGTTTGTTTAAATACTTTTGGAGTTATTACAAGAGCAGGGGTTAACATTTTTTTAATAATGTTAATGATTGAGTTTTAAGAATTCATCATATGCTTTTTACTATTCATATAAAAGAAGGAATATGGAAGCACGAGATCGGTATAGGAAATGTATAAAATTAATAAAAAAATATTTAATATTTGCCTATTAAAAATATAACTCTGAAAGACATATGGTATGAAAGCAACCTGATCCGAAATAATGACGATCACCCCAAAACTGTATATAGCGCCCTCAATCATGCAACTTGTGTGCCTACGTTTTTATCAATTCTGACTACTTCAGTTACTCAGCTGAGTCAACAGCTCTGTTGATTGTTTGATTAGGGGTATGGGGAGAGGGAGGCGGGTATTCTTGAAGAGTAGTTGTATGTGTGATTGTTTTGTTCCAGTGATTATGACCCATTGAGGTCTCTGTTTTATTTTAATTTTGATGACTGGTACTTTTTATTCCGCAAAATTTCGAAAAGTTGCAAATTGTACTGTTGAATACTCTTGATCACCCATCGTCTCCCTTGTGGAATATGCACACTCAATATTTAGACTACATAAGTATTTTTTTACTGACTGGATTATATTCGCCATGCAACTGTATCATTTTGTTACTGCTATGCTATAGCATACAGTTTATGTTATTCTTGTGTTGTTTAGATGCACTACAATAACATGTACCATTCATATATCATATCAGTATCATTCATATATCACATATATTATATTAGTATCATGC